TCGAGTGTGCCTGGTCAGCGCCATCCCATTGCATATATAAGCCATACATTACAACCAGCGGAGATGAACTACTCCACGACAAAGAAGGAGTGTTTAGCAGCAGTCTAAGGTTTCGAGAAACTTCATGCATATTTACATGGTTCTCGGACGTTACTTGAAGGTGACCATGCTGCTGTTACTTCGTTATTGAAGCGGAAGAACCTAGTTGGTCATACTGCTCGGTGGGCTTTGAAGCTTCAAATATATGATTTTGATGTTGTTCATCGCTTAGGGAGTTCTGATGCCCTTTCTCGAGCTCCTCTTCCTTTTCCATTCTCTTCTCATGTTTCTGATGAGCTTGTCGTTCCAGCATCTGTGGATTTTCTAGACGAGGATTCTATGCCGTTGGCGGTTGCTGTACTTGACGTTTAGTGTCCACAAGGTGTAGAGCAAGATCTACCTTCGCTTGATGAGGTTCGCAAGGCTCAAAAGGTTGAGCTATGGATTCGAAGGCTTCGAGATGGGTTTGAGAATCCTGCATCACTTGCTGATGACTTGCCTTTCCGGCATTTACATTCTCAATATCATCTTGAAAATGGCCTTCTTTATTTTGTGGAGATAGATCCTGATGATCATTTACGGCTGGTGGTGCCTTCTATCTTTATTCTGCGGTTTCTCCATGCCTACCATGATTCTCCTGTTCTAGGTGGGCATATGGGACATCGTCGTGTAATTGAGAAGCTGCACAAGTCTTTCTATTGGCCGGAGATGCGACGTGATATTATCCAGTATGTGCGTAGTTGCGTTTGGTGCCAAGCTCGTAATACTCCCCCTTGGGCTGCAGAAGGATGGTTGGAGTCAATTGCAGTTTCCCGTCCATTTAAGTTGGTGGCGTTTGATCTTATAGGACCTTTTCCACGGTCGACTATTGGCAATGAGTATGTTATTATTGCTTCTGACTATTTGACTCGTTGGGTGGAACTTGGTGCTCTTGTTAGTGCCTCTGCAACTGCTGTTGGATACTTCCTCCTCAATCGAGTGGTGTTCCAGCATTCTTGTCTAGAGCGGATTCTTTCGGATAATGGTCCTGCATTTATGGCTAAGGCATTTCATGTTTTGACGTCTCGGTTGGGGATTCGCCACACTTTCACGAGTGCTTATCATCCACAATCAGACGGTCTGGTGGAACAGCTCGTTCGGACGTTCAAGGGGATGATTGCGAAGTATGTGAACTTTAAGCATTTGGATTGAAATGGTTATTTGCCGTCTCTTCGGTATGTATATGTCATTAGGGTGCAGAGTTTTGTTGGTGCTTCACCATATAAATTCCTATATGGTCATGATCCAATATTACCAACGGAGTTGGGTTTACCTTCGTGATTGCCACGAGCTGCAGATGCTAGGTTATGAGATCAATATTTGACGAGCATTCTTCCACTTGTCTGAGCGGAGTCTGCCGAACACTTAAGCCGCGTACAAGTGGGACAACAACGGCGCTACAACTCCCATCATCGTCCACCTGCGGAGTACAAAGTGGATGATTTGGTGTTAGTCCGTTTTCTCCATGTTACGGTACGTGGTTTATCTAAGGGGCTCCTTGCACAGTGGAAAGGACCGTATCGGTGTAAGGAACCAACTCGCCGAGGTGTCGTAGGCTAAAGGAACCCCGAAAGCATGACCAAAATGACAAAGAGTTCATCGGATGGGACCAAGTCGAAGATCGAGTCCAAGACCGACTCTAGGACCGAGTTCGAGATAGAGTCCGGAATCGAGTCTGAGACCGACTCGGGGACCGAGTTCGAGTCCGAGTTCGAGACCGAGTTTGAGACAGAGTCCGAGATCCGAAATCGGGTCCGAGACCGAGTCCGAGGTCGAGTCCGAGGTCGGGTTCGAGATCGGGTCCAAGATCGAGTCCGTGATCGAGTCCGAACCCGAATCCGAAGTCGGATCCGAAATCGGGTCCGAGATCGAGCCAGAGACTAAGTCCAAATACTAATACGGGTCAAGGGGTGAAAGCCCAAAGCGTGCGTCTCCCAGGGGGGGGGGGCTGCAGGGGGTTCCAAAAGTATAGTAGGGATAGTGAGGTCCAGGAACCAGTTTTGAAGGGAACTCTCCAGTTGGGCTTCCAAACCGACTTGAGGTTGGGACTGGGACCGAGGGGGCCTTGGGTGGGAGTGAGCATGGACTTGGCTGGTGCCGGAGGGGCCATCCAAGGAAGTGCTCAAGAGCAGCTCCCACTCCCGAAAGGGAAACCGATTGCGGTGCTCCCGGCTCATGTGGAGTGGTGCCCCACTTGAGTACCATGCGGCTCATTGGTCCTCGCCCTTCCTAGGGGCTTGGGCCTTCCTTCGGGATGGAAGTGGGGGGCGAGAGGTACCCATACCGGGCCGTTAGGCCACGGTGTTTCGCCCCGGCGTCCCGAAGCAAGTGTTGCACTCAAGACTGGGGATTTAGAGGGTCCCATGATCAAGTCTTGTGGTACCAGGGGATGTTAGGAACCTGGAAGCTTGGTGTGCTTGGCTGCTTGTGCTTGCGGGGAGTGTAGCCGAACCTAAGTCCAGTCTAACCCGGGGAGGGGGATTGGGAGTGATTTGGGAATCCGTGGAAGGATGGCTAACACTCCGTTGCTCGTGCAGTGAGTAGCTGAAACCAAGTAGGAGCTGGTACCATAGGCGAGAACCTTGGCAAGGGAACTTAGCAAAAGCCAAGGCAGTGTTGGACGGATAGACGAGGTAAGCTAGCAAATTGGAAAGGAAAAATTTGTGGCTTACAATCGGCTGTTGCGGCAAGTTGGACCATAAGTTTATGAGGTTCGGTATGACATCCAACAGGCTGATCCTCCAGAGATTGTGCATATGCAGCGGTTGAAACGCTTCATACAAAGGGATCAGGAACAGTTAATACCATCTACAGATCCGCCGATGCCTCCTCCTAATGTTCCTTTAGATCCCGGCCCGTCTACAAAAGAACCCTGATGGTCTTCCATTATTCCGAGAGGAGGGGATGATATGAGGGTCAAGTGTACAGCTACGATGCTGTATACTAATATTAGCATAGTGGGATTTTGGTAGCTGTTGGATTGGTTTCAATCCGAACTACTCGCTCTTGTATATAAGCTATGGTTTTTGGGCTAATTGATATGCACATTTCTGTATTCCCTTTCCATATTCTATGCACTCACAAAATTAGTTTTTCAACTTATAATTAATATATTCAAATTGCATAAATTTATTTTATTATATTTTTTATACTTATTTGATCAATTTTTATAATTAATAGATTGCTTAAAATTGTTTGTAGTAATCTTTAACATAAGTAATCACCTTCTCTTCTCATATAATAGTGAATTATCAATACAATTTATTATGCATTAACATTAAATATACTATATATAGATATAATATAGCACATTATTTGAATGCCAATATCCTTGTATATGCTTTAATATAATTAATAATAGTTTGTACAAATTTTAAATTATGGTTTTAAAACTATAACAGAACTATGTTGAATCTAATCATTGTCCTATAGCTAGTTATATATAGATCCATTTTCTTAAAAAAAGGTGTCAATGGTTTTGCAAATAAAAATTCTTGTTTTCAATTTTCCAATTATATGATGGACTTTTGAAACACACTTTAGAATGCAGGAAGTGCTGCCTGACCAAGAATAATAAATCAGCAGCAGATTAAAAAGAAATCGCCACCATGGCTGCCTCGAAGGCATAAAAAGATTTGCGTATATACGGAGGATATGAATCTCGATTGACTGACTAGAGTTGACTAAACATGCAGGCCTTGTAACGCAGCAAAATGCCCCCAAAACAAACATTCAGTGTGATCCCACCCATCATATCCAAAGGATTTGGCAAGATCCTCGTCCAGATTGATACCAAACGCCCTCTTGTCCTCCACATCATACCGAAACAGTCCATCATCCCCACTTAATTCTTCTTCTTCTTCTTCTTCTTCTCGTTCTACTTTTCTCGATCCAGATCGTAGTGTGCGGTGGTTTCCCTTGGCTAGAAGCAAATTCCCACACCCGGCACAAGCAGTCACATCATAGGCATCATCCAACACAAGCTCCCATTTCCCACTCATCTCCTCCAGCTGATAGAGTCCATCACCCACAAGAAGCATGATTCTTTTTCCAACACACGCAAGGGCCCGAAAGTCATAGAATGAATAATCCATCTCGATCTCCCTCTCACCGCGATAATCGGACTCCTTTCTCTTTGGAAGTGGAACCTCCTTCCAAGCATTGGCCTCCACGTCCAGGCTCATCAACCGGGCGTCATTGTTGCCGATTTTTTCCACAAAGTATATCACCCCGTTCTTCTGTGCCTTGAGCTGTGGTATTGGTTTCGCCAAAACGGGTCTCCTCCTCCAAGATCCCCGGGACTTCAACATGGTGTCTACTCCAGTGCTGGTACTGGTACTCCACTCGTTGGAGGTGGCATCGAAAATCTCCACCAAGTAGCCCCCTCTGTCTTTGATTCGTTCATAGTCTCCAAGGGGCTTTGTGATCCTTGGGCTGATAATGACGATCTTGAGGAGCTCGTTGGTACTTTCGTCCACGAGCATGGAGATGATCGAGGCCCTGCAAGGTTTGCTGGGCGACCTGGGAATGCTCCGATTCCATCCGGTCGCTGGATTCCATACCACGAGATCGAGCTTGCTGCTGGTTCCCATGCACACGAGCCCCTGCGAGTAATCCACCACATACCTCCGCGTCAGAAAATTCGCGGGCAGTTTGAACCTGTGCCAGGATCCCAGCCGGGGAAAGCACGCCCACACGGCCCTTCCCTCCCCTACCACCAAAAACCAGCGCTCGCGCTTCATCTTGGGGACGATCGCGTCGCGCCAGGATTTGGAGACCGCCACGCACTGGAAGAGATCCCACACAGGCAGCCGATCTGCCACCGGGCCCAGCGCCTCGGCGCCAGCCGTGCCACGCATTGATCGAGGACACTGGAGCTCGCGAGCGCTGTTGGCGATGGTCCCTTTTGCTGTGAGGGATCGATGCCACCGGAAGCCCCGATCACGATTTGCTACAGGCAGCAGTCTCAAGATGGATCGGGAGGGGATTTATGGCGGAGTATCGCGCTGCCGCCAGGCGATGGCATCCAGGATCTAGCAGCGGCATGTAGCGAGGCGAGTTTTGGAATCGGGGGTGAGAGGGTCATGGATCCGAGCTACAGAAAGGCGCTCAAGCTGGAGCCTGGCGATTTCACAACCAGCTTCGATCTCTCCGGGTATGGAATTCTAGACGAGATCAAAACGCTGCTCTTTCCGACCAAGCAGACAGTGATTGCCAAGCTCTACAAGCTCAACGTCTATGCACAGGGAGATTTCTTCAAGCCTCACGTAGACACTCCCCAAAGTGGAAACATGCTAGCTTCGCTCGTCGTCTCGCTGCCCTGCGCTCACTCTGGCGGAGATTTGGTGGTCCGGCATGGCAAGAAATTCCATAGCTTTAGCTTTGGAGGAGAGAATGGCAATGGCCGGATAGGCTGGGCGGCTTTCTTCTCGGACTGTGAGCACGAGGTGATGGAGGTAACGTCGGGGCATCGATTGACACTCACTTACAACCTGTTTGTCGAGAACTCTACCACTCCAAAGACGGATTTTTCAGGCACGCAGCTCTACAAGCTCTTTGTCGAGGCAAAGGAGTCCGGACAGAAGATGACACTGGGATTTCCTTGCAAGCATCTCTACGCCCAAGGGAATGGCCTCAAAGGTGACGATGCTTTTGTCTATCACACAGCAGTGGCAGCTGGGTTAAACGCCTCGGTGTGCTCGGTGTGGTCGAGAGAAGATGGCTTTCGCGCCTCGAGGAGGAACCCCGACTTCGATCATCCAAAGTTCATTGGTGACGAAGACGTGCTTGGAAGATTTCTAGTGTCCGGGTATGCTTTCTACAGGGAGGAAGTTGAAATAGCTGAGATTGGCAAGTTGCTACACGAGGAAATGGAGGAAGATGTGGGCGATGTTGTGTGGTGCCGCGAGAATTTCGAGTGGAATGTCGGTGGCGCGTGCGCGAGCTATGGGAATGAACCAGGCACTGAGTCGTTTTACTGTGCAGCCGCGATTCTGGTCAGTGTAGACGACAGAGAAGATGAACCAAACGAAGATGACGCAGACGAAAACGAAGATGATCCAAATACAAACAATGATACAATGGAAGATGATGCAAACGAAGACCCAAACTGACGATCATGCTTGATTCAAGTTCCAATTCTTTTTGTGAATCTTTGCAATTGCTCGACTTGATCTTAGCGCCAAAACTGCTTTAAATGTAATCGACGGTCCAAATGGGCACTGGATCAACGGCCACGATCAAGCTTACATGAGAAGATTTGACATTAAGGGTTTAGGGTTTCTTGGCGCCATGGTTGATAAGTGGATGCTCGCGGCCGCTGCGAGGAAGATCTCCAGTCCCTTTTGCTGCGGTGGATCGCTGGCGCCAGAATTTCCGGTTAGAATCTGTTACAGGCAGCAAGATTCGTGGCAGAGCATCGCATTGCCCGACGGGATCCAGGCCCTAGCGGCGGCGTGTAGCGAGGCGAGTTTTGGAATCGGTGGCGAGAGGGTCATGGATCCGAGCTACAGGAAGGCGCTCAAGCTGGAGCCCGGTGATTTTACGACCAACTTCGATCTCTCCGGGTATGGAATTCTAGACGAGATCAAAACGCTGCTCTTCCCGAGCAATCAAAGAGTGATTCCCAAGCTCTACAAGCTCAACGTCTACGCGCAGGGAGATTTCTTCAAGGCTCACGTAGACACTCCCCAGGCTGGAAACATGCTAGCTTCGCTCGTCGTCTCGCTGCCTTGCGCTCACTCCGGCGGAGACTTGGTGGTCCGGCATGGCAAGAAATCGCAGAGCTTTAGCTTTGGAGGAGAGAACAGCGATGACCGGATAGGCTGGGCGGCTTTCTTCTCGGATTGCGAGCACGAGGTGCTCGAGGTAACGTCGGGGCATCGATTGACGCTCACTTACAACCTCTTTGTGGAGGAATCCAGCACAGTGGCTGGAAAGACGGACTTTTCACGGTCGGAGCTCTACAAGCTCTTTGTGGAGGCGAAGGCATCCGGGAAGAACATGACACTGGGATTTCCTTGCGAGCATCTCTACGCTCAGGGCAGTGAAGTGAGCATTCCAGAGGCTCTCAAGGGCAGCGACGCGTTTGTCTATCACGCGGCAGTGGCGGCTGGATTGGAAGCTCGGGTGTGCTCGGTGTGGTCGAGGGAAAAGTTTGGGGACAATCGCTTCATTGGGCATGAGAGCATGCTTGGGAAGTTTGTTGTTTCGGACGACTGCTACGAATCACAGGACAAAGAATCGTTTGATCTCAGTGAGTTCCTCGACAGACGTTTGGTGGAAGAATGGAAGATCGTGTGGTGCCGTGGAAGCTTTGATTGGAATCTCGGTGGCGCGTGTGCGAGCTATGGGAATGAGCCCAGCACCGAGAGCTTCTACTGCGCTGCTGCCATCCTTGTCACGATTCGCGGAGGAAGTCAGGAAGAAAGCGATGAAAGCGAAGAAAAAGAAAGCGATGAAGAAGAAGAAGATGAAGATCGCGAAGAAGATGAAAGCGAAGAAGAATAAATTGTGTTAAACGCGTTTAAATTTAACCAATCGCATTTACACTTACCATAAAACGCTTCGCTAAAACCCTATCCCTAGAATCCGAGATGCTCGACATCAATCTTGTGCGGCAGGAGAAGGGCGGCGATCCGGAGCGCGTCCGCGAGTCTCAGCGCCGCCGCTACGCATCCGTGGAGCTGGTCGATGAGGTGATCCAGATCGACAAGGAATGGCGCAAGCGTAAGTGATTTCTCGGCTCTCTTTTCTTGTTTTCAGCGTGTTTTCGGTGAATTTGTCTAGTCCAACACGAGGTGGAGGGCCTGCGAAGGGAGGGAAATCGTCTCAGCAAAGAGATTGGGCTCAAGTTTCGGGTAAAATCGTCTCTCCCTCTTTATTTTTTCTTCTCCTTTGTAGTGAGTGGGGACTTAAAGTTGCTTACGGTGTAGAACAAAGAAGATCCTTCGGAGCTCAAGCAGAAGAAGCTCGACCTGGACAACAGCCTCGTGTCGAAGGAGAAAGAGGTCGAGTCTGTCAAGTCTACTCTGGACGGGAAGCTCAAGCTCATTGGAAATCTCGTGCATGACTCCGTCCCCGTGGACAATGACGAGGTGATGTTTCCAGGGTTTTTGCTTCTTCTTTCCTTGTGCTCAAGTTTTGGCTTTTGCAGGAAAAAAATGCGGTCATTCGTACCTGGGGAGAATTGCGACAGGAGAAAAATCTGAAGAACCATGTTGACTTGGTGGAATGCCTGGGTTTCGCTGACATTAAAAAAGGTTTGCATAGGACGTCTCGTTCTTCCCACTTATATTTTTTTCCATCCGTGGTTTCAGGAACGGATGTTGCTGGTGGAAGGGGCTACTATCTGAAAGGGCATGGTGTCTTGCTAAACCAGGCTTTGATCAACTTTGGCCTCGCGTTTCTTACCAAGCGTGGATATAGCCCTCTTCAACCTCCGTATTTCATGAAGAAGGATGTCATGAAGGAGTGTGCACAACTTGCACAGTTTGATGAGGAGCTTTACAAGGTAAAAAAGCTCAAAGCGCTGCTATTTTCTTTGACATATTGTCGTGACAGGTTGGAGAAGGGGAAGGAGATGACAAGCTCGCGGAAAAGGACGAGAAGTACTTGATCGCTACTTCGGAGCAGCCTCTTTGTTCGTACCATCGTGGAGACTGGATGGATCCGAAATCCTTGCCTATCAGGTAGCTACCTGTTTTAGCAAACTGCAGCATATAAGAGCTTTGCGTGATGTAGGTACGCTGGGCTGTCTACTTGCTTCCGCAAAGAAGCTGGCTCGCACGGGAGAGACACCCTTGGAATTTTCCGGGTGCATCAGTTCGATAAGATTGAGCAGTTTTGCATCACAAGCCCTCTCGGTGACGAGTCCTGGAAGATGCACGAGGAGATGCTAAAGAACTCGGAAGATTTCTATCAGGAGGTTGTACACTGATTGTTTTGCTGGTTTTTATTCACTTATCCTTGTTCTTCTGTTTGCAGCTCGGCATTCCATACCAAGTAGTTGTCATCGTGTCTGGAGCGCTGAATGATGCCGCTGCCAAGAAGTACGACCTCGAAGCGTGGTTTCCAGCATCGAAGGCCTATCGAGAGCTCGTCTCTTGCTCAAACTGCACTGACTATCAAGCGAGAAATCTTGACATAAGATATGGCCAGACAACGGTGCGTAACATTCTTAGTTTCTTCTATGTTGCTTAGCTTTTTTTCTCTCTCTCTTTCCAGGCCAACGAGCAACCAAAGCATTTTGTGCACCTGCTGAACTCCACACTGACCGCAACGCAGCGAACCTTGTGCTGCATTCTGGAGAACTACCAGACCGAGGATGGGCTCCGAGTTCCCAAAGCCTTGCAGCCATACATGGCTGGGTTGGAGTTCATCCCTTTCTCAGTCAAGGCTCCAGCTCCGGCTCCGGTCCCAAAGAAGAAGGCTGTGGGAGCGGCTACCGGTAAAACGCCTAACTAACCACTAGAGTACGTACGCAACTCGGACATTGATAATGGGCAAACTGTGCAAGGATTGAAGCTTGCAAGAGCCGTGGGTTTTTTCATGAAGTGGATACCGAGGTGAAGCTAGTCAAGCGGCAGATTGATCCTCGTATCAGCTTCACGACCCCAAAGAAGGTACTTAAGACTTTCTTCTCACCTTTTTCTTCATGTGGTAACGCTTGTTGATTCTTCCAGATGAGCTACTGGAGCTCCAAAACCATACCGAGAATTCCTAGTGCCAATTGCTTGGCAGTATTTTGAGTTGCCGAGATAGCAAAATTGTTTTTGTTATTCATGAATCACAGATACTACTATTCTAGGATCACTACGTTGTCTAGAAGTGGTTCTCGGATCGTTTGACCCTGTAAAAGCTTGCGTTGCCTTTGGTGTCTTTGAGCCCATGCTACAAGATAGAGCCCAGCAAACACAAGGAGGATTCCACCCATACTGTAAGAGCAAACAAATTCATTGGACTATGCGTTTTGGAGTTTTGATCATCACCTGAGAGGATCTAGTGCCTGTCCACCGAAGAAAACGTAGAAAAGTGTGACTAGAACAGTCTCCAGTGGCTGATAAGCAGCGACGAGCACGGGTCCTCCTTTATGAACTCCCCAAGATTGGACTCCGGATACAAATCCAGATCCAATCAATCCCTGAAAGAAAATAAGTTTGAAAGATCATAGTGATCGTAGAGCTTACTGCATATAAAACACTGAGGATCACTCGAGGATGGCTTGTCGTCCAGAAGCTCCAGATCTTCGAGGCCTGGCCAAAGCTGGCCGAGATGATTCCCAACTGGAGCGTGCTGAACAAACACGAGAATGCTCCAATCGAGAATGGAGCGGCGTATTTCTTGAGGAGGAGAGATTGGAGAACGAGGAAGAGCGCGAAGGAGAGGAAGGCCAGGAGGAGGCAGCCAATGCCAAGCTCCCATCCACTTGTTTGGAGCTCAAGATCACCTCTTCTTCGAAGAAATTGGTGGCGAAGTATTTCTCTGACTGTGGGATGGTGTGAAGAGAGCAGCACTGCTCCAACGAGTCCCAGGAGTGTTCCCAAGATTTTGGCCACTCCATCCAGTTTTTTCACGTCCAGTTCTTCGACCCTTCAATCATTTGCAGCGGACAATATGTGTGTGTGTGTGTGTGCATGAGAGAGAGAGAGAGCTACCTTAAGATTGTTGCGAGCACGAATGTAAGAACTGGGATTAAATTCCGAAGTGCTGAAGCGATGACAGTGTTTGTGTACTGGAGTCCAATTAAATAACACATTTGATTGATCGTCACCCTGTGGAAAAATCAAGATCTTCGTTTGGGTTTTTTTTTGAAAGGGACAAAAGAGGGAAGAACAAACGTACCCAAGCAAAGCGAGGCCAAAGAAGAGAAGAACGAACTTAAAGTTTAGCGCTGGCCTTTGCTTCTTCTCCACAAAGTAAGCAATGGGAAGGAGGAGAATGGAAGCCAGGAAATTGCGATACAACGTAAAGACGAGATGGTCGACTCCATCGACGAGCGCTATCCTCGCCAGAATCTCAAAACCCGCGAAGCAAATCTGTGTCACGACCAGAGATGCGTGCACTGCCAACATTTTTTCTTCTTTGGAAGACTCGATTGATTTGTCGACCCATGATTCTTTGTTTTTGTATGCGATGGAGATTTGGTCCGAATTGGAGAACCAGGTAATTCTACTTGAAACTTCGCAAGATTCTCCATTGGAGTCATGGTCAACTACTTGAAACTTCGCAAGATCCTACGTTAGTCAACTGCAAATTAAAGTCGTCTTTAAAGTTGAAAGTTCCATGGCTCAACTAGTTTGACCATTTCGATCTTTCCACAAATCTTTTTTTGTCTACACATCAATGAACATTGATGTATTATTCAAGCACAAATACTGCAATACATCCTATCAAACCTCATGGAGTTTCTCTTCTTTCTTTGCAGGAGCAAAGTTTATGGAGCGATCTTGTGTACCTGGACCTGGAGGCTGATCGAAATCAGGGGCACTTCGGACCGCCCTTGGAGTTTTTGAGATTGTTGTAGCAGGGGCACGTTTCCTTGTTCCCGTAAGTTCCCGGAGGAACGCAGTTGCACTTGCCACAGCAAATGTTGCAGTATTTGATGCATCTGTCGTGCGCATCAGCTTTGGAGCACCTGTAATCGCAGGCAGAACCGCAGTCTGCAAAGATCGACCAAACAATCATTTAGATTCTCTCCTGAAAGAAGAAAGAGTCCACTTACTGATATTCTGGAGCCTCCTCGCGGTGGTGAGAGCCTATCAAAACCATCAAGCACAACAAAATCAGCACGGAGGAGAACGAGCACAGAAGATGACACTCACAACGCTCGGATGGTTTTCACCAACATCGCCTCCCTACACGAAAGTCCATAAAGCATTTTGAGCCTGAAAATCGAGGGAAAGAAATTCGTACCTGGCAATGCTGCTGCATCATCAAGACCAATACCAGGAGGACCACCAGCGCGGATTTGTGGACCATCGCGTATCCACTACGGAGGAAGAAAGGAAACAAAAGTGCCCCCCGCGATCGAGCCCCCTCAAAATATATACACAGCCGAGCTTTGAAGCAGTGAACCTGAACAAAACGATACAGCTGTGAAGAAGCGGTGAAAAAAGTTTGGATGTTTGTACGTGTTGTGGAAGCACCGGGTTGGCCGCTGCTACCTACAAAAGCAAAGGAAAGGTGAAAATCACACAGCGATATATCTCCTCGGGCGTACACTACTCACCACCTTTGTGCTGCCGAGTGAAAATCCTGTGCCCGATCGGGCCGAGTGCTAGAACAATGATTCTTCGCGTTCTGTAGCTGGCTGGCAGTGTGCTGGATGTCATTAGCTGATTGATTGAGTTGACAGGAGGATCCCGGTTGAAGCTGCCTTTGCTTCTTTTGTACCAAACTCTTCACGTTCCGTCAAAGTGGCTCCTGCTTTTGAGGTAATGCTCTTGTCACTTTGTCCGGCTCACAGTGGTTGCGTGAGTCAGATAAGATCCAAGCTCTGGCTGGCTCCAGGCCAGGTCTGGAACTTTCTCTGATCCCCTCGGTGATTCTCGGGTCAGGACTGCTTTAAAAGCCTGCTGCACACACAAGTCGCCCTGAAGAAAGAAAAGAAAGAAGATGAGTTCCTACAAGATAGCAATCCTTCTGATGGTGCTGCTGATAGTACCTGACAGCCGAGAAGAAACGCTTGAGGTATGTTGCTCCCTCTTGTTTCATATCAGCTTACAGTCCAGGACACGCCACAGTCTGGAAGACACCTCCTACAAAGCATCAGTAAGAAAATGATTGATTTGTACGTAGAAGTATGAACCTGATCGGTTGTTTTGCTCTGCGTCTCCAGACTGTCCTTCGGCTTGTGACTACCGTTGCTCCAAAGCCTCTTTGCACAACCGCTGCATAAAGTTCTGCAACATCTGCTGCCGGAAGTGCAATTGCGTTCCGCCAGGCACAGCTGGTAACAAGGAGAAATGCCCCTGCTACAACAACATAAAGAACTCAAAAGGGGGACCAAAATGCCCGTGAGTTAGTGTAAGAAACTTCTATCACTGCTTCAAGTGCCGGGAGTCCATTGAAGGGAAGGAAAACGGACGAGGCTCATACCTTGCATAACTGGCCTCTTACTACAAAAAGAAAAATCCGCCGCCTTGTACTTCATTTTAGAACGTAATCAAGGTCCGCTCCAATCTCTGCTATTCTAGAGACTTTCGACTTCTTAGCGGTGCCAGCAACACTCTGGATGTCCAGGTCCTTGGCCACGGACTTCACAAGACCACTGTGCACAAGGGATCCTATTGTTTGAAGCGCGAGGAAGTTAATATCGTCATCTTCTTGCGGCCCAGTCATCTGTGTCGTTTCTGTCAGGATTCCAGAGACTTAAAACAAAAGCAACTACCTCCATTGCGGCAGAAAGAACCTGAAGCTGAGCGTTTTCGTCGTTTGCACCAATTACTCGAACGGCATAGCTGCAGCCAGCGCCAATTAGTATTGACGAAATCAAATTTGCCAAAAGCATACTTCAACAGTAGATGCGCGTATCCACTGCGGATGTTCTTGACAGGTGACGTACTAAACTGCGAGAATATGTCAATAATCTGTTGATTGCAACACAAAAATTACACACGTCAGTAGCAGAACGTCAAAACAGATAAAAGAAACTCACTTCACTTCTGGAATCGAGGAGCCAATTCTGGAAGCACTCGTGTCGAAAGCAATTTACCATAGCCCGAGCACTGAGAAAGACGTTTGCATTTGGAGCCGGAGACTGAATGGCAGACTTCACCAGATTTAAAAGAACATCTGGCGAATCAATACATATGTTAAACTAGTCCACGAGCTTTTGACCATACCTTTTTGCCGAGAGAAATAATTTGCAGCTTGCGGGTCAAGGACAAGTATCCTTAGAAAGTCCAGCACTGCACAAATTTGAGTTCGCGATAAAGAAAAAAAAAAAAAAAAAAAACAAAAACCGTGTTACCTGGGAAAAGATTTGCAACTGGCCACGTAAATAGCTTCCTGGTCAAAATCTCGAAGTCTGCATCGGCAAATACGGACTGATGCGAGGTGCTTTTTAAAGCTTGTAACATTCCCTGTATTCTTTCCATTTCTTCTAACGACAGAGCCACAGAACCAGTGTTGAATTCCGTAAGTTTTTTAAAAATTCCATCGGTTTGCGTTCTCGTATCAAAAAGTGTTATTCCCGTCTGCATTGTGAATAAGGTCAGTCATTTCCTTATATCCTTTCTGTTATCTATTACCTTTGGAATGTGCTTCAGATTGTAAGTTGACGCTGTCTTAGAAGCTGCAAAAGAAACCGTAAAAACCAATAGCGAGAGTATAACAACACCCTCCACATACCAGGGCGTGATGTTTGCCGTGGCACATAAGCATTTCCTGATTAAAATGCTTCGAATCAACAAGCAATTGAATATAGCGATTATTTACCTCCAGTGTAAGGATCGTAAAAGCAGTCATCTAATTGCATGAAACTGTTTGCTTGCTGTCCTGTGTTTCTCAAGATAAAATCAACGATTTGTTGTCGGTATCCCATGGGAAGGTTTTCATTCAAAAGCCATCTATCTGCCGTATCATATGGATTGTCTGCACAAACCTTTTTTTTAAAATGCAACAAAAGAAGTATTTAAATTACCTCCTCTATTGTATGGTAGCTTGCGAGTCGGCTCCCCGTCCTCAATATTAACATCAAAAACTTTAAAAACCAGTCAAAGTTACGCTCCAAAAGCAAACAAAATCTGCAAATTTACCGTAGTCATACGTAACGCCGTTTAGTGTCTTTGCACCGAGTGCATCTTCTGGACCTTCAACAACTTCTCCCACCTGCGAAGAGTATTCAGGAAGCACAAGAAAAGCCCGTGCCTAATACCTTGTCCCAGTTATATTCTTTCATGTTCCACGAATACGCAACAGCGGTATCCCCTTCACGGACGATTTTGCTTTGGCCGTCGGAACGTCCTGTTTCAAAGATCATGTTTATTAACGCTCTAGGAATAGACGTGGTGCCAGAACCTGGGGTTTGAAGTGCTTCCAGGCCGGGCAATTCCGAAACTTTGACACCTCCGACCGTCTTCCTGCAAAGATACAACAATATGTAAGGAAACCTCAAAGAATAGCGCAAACGCTGACTTTTGCAATTTTCGAGCAGAAACTGAGGCTTCAAAGGCTGCAACTTCTTCTGATGATGCATAACGACTGGAATCTACCGTCCATACTCTCGCAACCCCGTCAGAACAAGCAGTCACGAGATCACCATTGGGTAAAAATTGCAAATCCCAAACACATCCAGGATGTTCCAGGCTCTGAATGCAAACGCCACCTAAAGGATGCATCATGTCAACAATGCACATAATTCAAAGCACAAAATCAAAATCACCTCTCCAAATTTTGCAATATCCATCATCACTGCCAGAGGCCACATCGCCTGATAAATGACCCGCGACGCTATACACAATAGCCGTGTGACCAACCATTTCGAGAAGCTGTTCTCCAGCGTATGACCAAAGCTTGACAGTGCTGTAAGAAAGGAGTAAGCTCAAAACAGCACTTCATAAAACATCAATGGAGTTTACCAATCGTGAGAGGCTGAAAGAAATCCCAGGTTCGGCATTAGTGCCAGCCCTCTGACGGTATCTGTAGTAAGAACACTTGAGAAGGTGCAGCAAAATGCAGTTAACACTACAAACCAGTATGAGCATCCAGAGACTTCGTGAACATAGAGCCTTTCCAATACTTGATAGTTGTATCGGTCGATCCTGCTCAAGTCATGAGAAGAATTAAATTCTGGTGAAGTTTGGTACCTGTCACAAGGACGTCTTCTGGAAGAATGACAGCAGCCTGGACTGGTGCTCTATGACCTTTGAGAACTTCTGAGGCACCCCCTTTCTTCCATCTTCTCACAGTGCTGCAAAAAAGAAAACAAAAATGAGAATAGAGGATCACAATGCAGGACAAATTCTAAGAAAAAACCTGTCCACAGAAGTAGAAAAAATCTCTCCCCCATTGCCAATCACCACACTGGTCACCTGTAAGTCGTGGCCTCGCAACACAGAGACTGGCTCTGTGGAATCCATTTTCCAGACGATCACATTCGTGTCCATCCCACCGGAGACGAGTCCGCCGGCCGGCATCTCGTCCGAGGGTGGAATCCACGCAACGCAGCCGACGAAGCTGGAATGGCCTCTCAGAGTCGTCGCCAGATCGAAGCGCTGATCCTTCTCGTTCCACACGCGCACTGTGCCGTCCCTCGACGCCGTAGCGATAGTCGATTCACCGACGATGCACAAGCCGCGCACCTGGAAACGAGAGATTCTTGCTCCCTGAGAAGAAATCGAGAGAAATCTTACATCGTCCTCGTGTCCGATCAGCTGGCAACGCAGCTTGTATTCGCGCTTGTCTTCCGCCATTGGGAAAGAGCTCAAGAACCCTTGCCCTAGAGTAGCCACGTAGGATTATGTTGCCAATGGAATTATGCCACGTATACCAAACCACGTCACACGTCACCTACAATTTTTGCTTGGGTTGATAAACCCTAGGCGAGCGAGAGAAGAATGGAGATGGGACGACGATCTTCTCGCAGCGCGCTTCTCCTGATTCTACTTGTTCTTGGAATCGCTGGAGCGGCGCAAGGTCTTTACGATGCATCCTCGGACGTTGTCATTGTCAATCCATCGAATTTCAAGTCCAAGGTATGAACACCTGCATTGTCCATTCTCTAGGCGTCATATAGACGAGGATTCTTCTTCCTAGGTGCTCGACGCTAAAGGAATCGTAATTGTCGAGTTCTTCGCGAACTGGTGTGGTCACTGTAAAGCTCTAGCTCCAGCATGGGACAAAGCAGCCACAGCGTTAAAAGGGATTGTTACCATCGCAGCTGTTGATGCTGATACGCACAAATCTCTGGCAGCGGTACGTGTGGTTTTCTATAAGAATTATCAACTCCTCCATCATGTCGATTCATTCCAGGAATATGGACTCCAAGGATTTCCTACGATCAAAGTTTTTGGAGTAGGGAAATCCCCTATCGATTATCAGGGTCCACGGGAGGCAAAGGGAATTGTCGAATTCGCGCTTCAACAGGTTAGAGATATTTCCTTTCGTGTTTTCTTTTTTCTCAACTGGTTAAGCAGGCCAAGACTCTTGCACTTGATAGACTCAAGTCCAAAAAGAAGAGCCAAGACAAGGAGAAGAAGAACCCAGATAAGGAGAAGGCGTCGATTGAGCTTACGCCAACGAACTTTGACGAGCAAGTGCTAAAGAGCAACGATATCTGGCTCGTTGAGTTTTTCGCGCCTTGGTACTCCTTATTGCTATTAATTCTGGATGAAAGTTTTAACTTTTTTACCATAGGTGTGGTCATTGTAAGAAACTTGCGCCAGAATGGAAGAATGCTGCCAAGAGGCTGAAAGGCAAAGTTAAGCTTGGACAGGTGGATGGCGACGCGCACAAGGTTCGTCTTGCATACAAAATGACAAGAGGGCTGTCCATGACCTGTTTTCTTTCTTTAAACAGGATCTTATGAGCAAGTACAGTGTCACAGGATTTCCAACTATTCTGGTTTTTGGAGCAGATAAGCAGAACCCGACGGTTTACCAAGGTGCGAGAGACGCATCAGCGATTGAGTCTCATGCTCTTCAGCTGCTGGAAAGTAGCGCTGTTCCGCCAGAAGTTACTGAGCTGACTGGACCGGTACGAAACTTATTGTTACCATGCATTCCTCGTCTTTGATTCACATTCTTGTGCAGGAAATCATGGAAAGTCACTGCTCTTCGGCAGCAATTTGTTTTGTGACGTTTCTTCCAGATATTCTGGACTCAAAGGCTGACGGCCGTAACCAATACTTGGACATCCTGAAGAACCTTGCCACGAAGTTTGGGAAAGACCCCTATGGGTACGTAACTAGCTCTCTTCCGAACTTTGGATCTACAGCGGCGATATTGCAGGTACTTGTGGGCCGAGGCTGGCAAGCAACCATCCCTCGAAAAAGCTGTTCAAGTTGGTGGATATGGCTACCCGGCATTAGTCGCTCTCAACGTGAAAAAGGCGGTGTTTCTCCCGTTAAGAAGTGCTTTTGAACCAAGCTCCGTGCTGTAAGTCTTTAATGGCACTTGAGTCGCCAAGGACTGATATCGTTGTTCTTGCCGATTGCAGGGACTTCGTGAAAGATGCAGGACAAGGTGGGAAAGGAAACCTTCCGCTTGGCACCGGCTACGAGATCGTCAAAACCGATCCTTGGGATGGTAAAGATGGGGAAGCTATTCCAGAAGAGGAATTCTCTCTCGAGGAACTAATGGCTGCTGATGAGAATGCTGATGCGCAGAGTGAACTCTAAGAGGCACTGCCATCGCGTTGTAAAAGTTTTCTCTGATGGAATGGGAGGCTTCGGGCCCCCCGAATCAAACGACATATCGTTCGTAGCTTCTTACTTCTTTATTGTGGCTTTCGCTTTAGCAGATTCCTTCTGCAAGTTGCATCAGGGAAGACAGCGATTTGTAAGTAGCAGCTAGTCCCTTATTTACTTTCCACTTTTCATTCTTGCTAACGTTACTAGTGCGTTGTTTCAGGAACAGAGCTTGGAAGCTGGTATCAAAAACATGGCATTAATTGTTGAAGGACTGGTCGGCTCGTCGGATTGTGGAGCACGAGCTGGAAAGCCGATTCTCGTGGAACCAGCAGCGCATCAAGATCAAGTAAAGAGGTAGGGACCTTTGTCAATTCAAATGACCGAGCATGGACCACATGCCAGAGCTTTCTACCATGTCATTCCAGGAGCTAATGGCTATAAGATACTCCTGAAAATTCCTACCGTCTTGGCACAACGTCAATCCTCCTCGAACTTTGAATCTAGCGTATGGATCTTCTTCTGCTTCGATTTTTCTGTTTCTCTGCTGTCGCTAAGATATATGCTCTTCGCCTTTGTTGTTGTAACAGATCATGAGCGAGGAAACCCGTCCTTTGATCAGTGGCAAGCGAGAACGTTACGAAGATGAGGAGCTCGTACTCACGCCTTTTACTGCTTTTGCTAGAAAGGTCCACCGATCCGATCCATCTCTTCGATCATGCTAACTTCTTTGGCCTTGTTCTCATCTTGAAGGTTGGTGCCGAGTTCATTGGAACGTTCATTCTCATCTTCACCGCCGCGGCAACTCCTATAGTGAACAAGCAGCTCGGTGGTCTTTCGGTCTTTGCACTGTCTGCTACTCCCGCCCTGGCCGTGACGACCATCATCTTCTCAACCGGCCATATTTGTGGAGCGCATCTAAATCCATCCGTCACTATAAGTTTCGCCGCTCTCGGACAGTTTCCTTGGATCCAGGTTGGTCAGATCGAGCTCGTAACTTGAAGCTGTCGTGATGGCTTTCCTTTCGCGAGTGTACAGGTTCCCGTCTATATTGTCGCGCAGCTCCTGGCATCTGTTCTGGCCTCTTTCATTCTCAAAGGGGTCTACTATCCAGATATCGCCGCAGGAGTGACGGTTCCCATTGGATCGGACCTCCAAGCTTTCGTCCTGGAGCTCGTGATATCCTTCATCCTCATGTTTGTCAACACAGCACTCGCCACCGATAGATCTGCGGTACTCCTTCCCGAGCTCTTCACTTTGGTGGTTTGATCTCACATCTTTTCTGCCAGGTTGGAGACATGGCAGCCGTCGCAGTGGGCGCTACAGTGTTTGTCAACAACTTGGCCGCAAGGTACTTGTGTGTGCCTTCTAAACCTTTGATCTTTTCTTTGTTTCACTCAGCCAAGCAACTGGAGCATCGATGAATCCAGCCAGAACTATCGGCCCTGCCATCGCCGCCAATTGCTACAAGAGCCTCTGGGTCTACATAGTCGCACCGACGCTTGGTTGTCTTCTCGGTGCCGCCGGCTACACGATCGTGAGAACCACCGGCGCGAGCAAGCCCAAGAAATGGGGAAGAAACGAGCTGCTCCAGTGAGTAAGTGAATATTCCGGGTTTGAATAAGAATATCCTACCTCAAGTCGCGAAAAAGCTAAGCATTTCGTTCTCCATGACGTGAACGTTGCCGGTGATGACGAGACAATGCAAAGGCGCGCCAAACTCCGTTGCTTCCAATTGTTTGAGCGTTCCAGCCACTATCTTCTGTGACTTTGTTCCTAGGCGTGCCAATCCTACTGCCAGAGTCTCGTCACTGTAAGCTGGAAGAAGTAAAAAAGTTAGATCTTTGATTGATTGATCCAAAGTTTTCCAAACCTTTCTCTTTGCGTTGCTCCTCCACTTCCAGCAATTGCTCCACTGCTGTGTTGATGCTCATGTATCTCGGCGGCTCGTACGTGTTCTTCAAGCCTCTAAGCAAAGTTTCAAGCGTAAGAGGTTTCACGAGTAAAAAAAACTTGGAGCTTACCTGCACAAGGCCTCCACGGAAGGCTCCTTGACACGAATATCTAGTGAAGAACAGTGAGAAACTCGAGAGAACGATCGGTGTTAGAACAGTAGCTTACGTACCGAGGAGGCACAAAGTGTGCAAACCAAGCGTCCGGTTTGCTTTGATCTTGTCGTAGAAACTATCCGGTTTCCAAGTCTCCGTGAAGAATGGAATGGAAATGGTCTCCCCGAATCGATAGAGCTGCAAGCCACACACACCGATCGCGTTCATGACCGATGCGTTGTGGATGACTTCCACTTCGACGCCGGATCTCCTTGCACGGACCACCAGGTCGGAGTGAGTGGTGGCACTGTAGCGAAGAGCTTAGCGAAATAGAAACGAGCAAAGATATTCCATACCCGAATGGATCTCCAACCACAAGGAAAGCCACTTTCTCGGATCGCGCAGCCTCGACAATCTCCTCGGCAGCCTGTTCTACCATCTCCCTATCGGCGAGTATGATCTCTCGTCCATAGAAATCTTCCTGTGAGAGCTAGCAGATAAGAGAGAATCGAGGATCGAGGAGGATATTACCAGTCTAGAAATCGCGGACTCCACAGGGCCTAGATCGAGCAAGGATGTGTACGCCTCCAAGTAGACGCGATCGGCGCCACGCACGGCGTCCATCCCCCGGATCGTGATGTCGCGCTCGTCGCCCAGGCCCAATCCCACCATAGACAGCACCATCGCTAGGCGCTAGGGTTGAGGGTTCTAACGGAGAAATAAAATGCGCCTTCTCTAGGGTTCTAGCGCCGGAGTGGGAGGAATGGCGCTCTCGCGCGCGTGATTTCGCTGCGCAGAATGCACGGTCACAGACTCCAGGTTCGCAGCTCCTGTCCCTCTCTCTCGATTTTCTTCCTCTGCTTTGGATTGGTTCTAGATTGCCGTGATTCTTAGCTGGATTGACCATAGAAATTCTTACTACGTGTTCTTCCATAGGAGGTCAATGTCAAGCAAGGCTGGAGGATGGAAACGAGACAATCTGCGAGTGAGATTTCCTTCCGCTCGATCCATCGAAGAGACCGGCCTTGACTCGTCCAGGTACCGTGAAGACCCTTCCCTCTTCTCGCCGCATTTGGCTCACCAGGGGCAGTCCATTCTAGCTCCTGATGGGAGCATGTCGATCGATCGCTGGGGAGGAGAAAGCAAGCAAGAGGAAGAAGAGAAAGGCACCGATGCTTCTTCTTCCACAATTGCTCCTGACCAGCGTCGAAAGAAACTGGGAGCTAGAAGCTTCAGGTCTCCGAGCTTTCGGCTCCAGGAAGGGGAGAAAGACGACGTTGCCGAGCATGCCAAGGCCAAGAGGTTTAGAGTAAGGAAGGGATGGAAGCTGGCAGAGGCAGTAAGAAGGCATAGCCAGGCTTGCGAGATGGACTCCATGTCAAGCTTGGGTCACGAAAATCTGGAGGAAGTTCTTCCTGCCGCTACTTCTTCTCCCAGAGCTAAAGTGGGAAAGGACGTGGGTGTACAGGTTGACTTAACAGTGGACGAATTCATGGGTGACAACGCTTCGTCGACGCTAGTGCCCGTGCTTGCCAAGTCCGAGAGTGATTCCACGTCTCTTGCCAGCCCAAGTGTAGATGAAAACAGTCCGACGTTTCCCAGCTCCAAAGCGGTCACCGATACCGAGAACGCAGGAGGAGTGCTAGATTCTTCGACTCCAGGGGAGTCGCTACTGGCTCGCAATAGGTGGCGGAGGCTCAGACATACTGTGGCCTTTGCCACTCACATGGCACACGTAAAGAATTCTCCGAACGATCTTCTGGAGGAGAAGAGGGTGGAGGAGCTGAATGAAGGAGGGGCAGGAGGCGTTGGCGCGGCTGCGTTTGAAGGATCGAAAACGGGGCCGCAACATCGTTTGAAAGGGAGGAAAGGAATGGAAGGGCTCGTTGTGCGACAGGACAAGTCACTCATCGGTTTCGTCCAGGACTTTTACGTTGCTTGCTTGAAGGTACCGCAATAGTCTTCTTTGTACTTAAGTGTCGTGTTTACCTTCTGTTTTTCGTGCAGATGTCTATCGGGTATTTTCTCGTTGGAGTTTTTCTTGCTCCAATGGCATTGTCATTATTATTCATGCCTTTGTTCCTGCTAAACATTGACGGGCTTACTTACGATGAAGCTATGGCGGAGCAGGGACTTATCGGCCCTCTCGCGTCAGCGAAAGAAACATGCTTAGCTGTTTTAAACGTCTTCCTTTATGCGTAAGATCTTCCCCGCTCCCTATATTTTATGTGCTGATTTTTGGATTGCTTCTCCCAGGTTGTCTTTGTCAACAACCTTTGGCGGATCTCCTGTCATAGCGGTCTCACCGTATTCTCTGCTGATAGCAAACGTTAACACCCTTATGGCACAATTTTTGTTCGTCTTTCTCAGTGGAGCTGGTGAGCAGGGACTTGTCTTTCAAGAAGCAAAACAGCTAACACTCTTGTCAACCCAGTGTTTGCCCGAATGTCGCAGCCATCGCATCCCATCCGGTGTTCAAAGAAAGCGATAATAAAGAAGGATGACTACATCCCGAGCTTGGGAGATGGCGAAAAGTTCAGGTAAGTTCTCGTTTAACAACCGTGTCAGCTCTCACTTTCCCATGCAGGGTCCTCAGCATTCGACTAGTGTTGACAGGGCCACCGCCGTGCGAGCTTGTTGACGCTAAAATATGTCTCACTTTCAGGATATTTGTCACTCTCCCGTCTGGTTCCGTGTTTTGCTCGACTCAAGATCTGGACGTAGTACGACCCGAGGCAAACGAACTCTCGCTTTTGTTTCAACGATACTCAATCTTCTTATGTGACAGGTTTCATACTTGAGATATGGACTCATGGTGCGGCACATCATAGACAAGAAAAGTCCTGTCTATGGACACACGAACGAATCCTTGGTCGATGGCGACGCTTCGTTTTCCTTGACTGTCATGGGCCTGGAGCGAGCATCAATGCAGCCTATATTCCATCTAGAGGTGATTCAAGTTCCTCAATTCATGGCGGGCGGAATTCAAGAGTGGTGTACTACTTAACTGCAGGATTACTTCGTCCACGACGGCGACGTTGTCTGGGATGCCGACTACGTAGATTTCATCCAGATCAACGACAAAGGATTGAGAGTACTGGATCACTCCAAGATCGACCTCCTCAAGACTTTCAAGGCAAGCAGCTCTCCTTTAGATTTCTATACTCGCGTGCTCACCTCGTCTCTATCCAGGCCGCAGGAACAGTCTCGCAAGCCGTGGCTCGAATGAAACGAGCGGTTGACAAGCGCGAAAGCGAGAAACAAGAAGAAGAAATCCCCGAGACAGTCAGTCCGCTGAGAAGCTGGGCCTCGGGGATTCGCAACAGGAAGCTCTGGAAATGTATGTCCTCCTCCTTTACTCGCGCCGAGACCTTCCGGTAGCGAGATCAAAGCTTGCGATCCAGAGACCATAGATCAAAGACGTGACAACACAAAGATCTACAGTCACAAAGGTCAAAGCTTATATGTTAATAAATATAAGCGGTGTTATATATTTATAGATCATATGGAACGATCTCTAAGATCTTGCGAAGATCACTTCTCTTTCTCGTCTTTCTCGTCCTTCTCGTCCACAGTGGCGCCCAAGTGCCGGAACTTGGCGGCGTGCTTCATCTGCGCCAAGAGATTGTCCAGCGCCTCCCCGCAAACGTTGCTCGCGCGCCCATCGTACGGACTTCCCGCCAAGACCTTCATCTTGGTCGGGAAGAAATCCCGGAGCTTGTGGAGCATCTCCGTGGCCTTGAGGAAGAGCGCCGGCTCGATCTTGTCCCCGTCCATGCTCCGCCGCGCCAGGTCGCAAATCGGCGCGAACTCCTCGTCCAGGATCTTGGTTATCTTGCGATTCAGCAGCGTCTTCATCTGGAGCTCGCGATCCACCGGGCAGCAGCACAGGATGGTGTTGAGCGCCTCCTTCTTCTCGTCGACGTCTTCCCACTCCTCTTCGACCTTTAGATAGGCGGCGATGAGCATCGCGCGGAGATACGACTCCCAGGAATCGAGATCGTCCAGCGCTACCTCCGTCGGCTTCTTCCCCAGATTCTTGCGCTTGGCCGGGTAGCCGTGGCTTTGCCGCTGCTTGCGCCGCTTCTTCTCGAGCCGCTTCTTCTCATCCTCGTCCGGATACAACTTCATCACATACCGCGTTGCTGTGGATGCCGCCGCCATAGCCGCGCCGCGATCGTGAGAGAGAGATCCAAGAGAAAGGTCGAAGCGAGAAATCTAGAAACCCTGGCGCCTATCTATCCAACGCTGCTGGATTGCTCGATCTCTCGTTCTTCCTAGGCGACGCCTTTATATTCTCGCGGCGAATATGCCCGCCTTAAAAAAAGCATCAAAAATCTATGCTCCCACTTCTCTTTGACGATGCCGATTAGCGTAGGCAGCACGGCTTAGACGGACGTTTATACGAGCAGCTAATCTAGTCAACGTATCTTTGACCAAACTATGTGAGTTCGTGTGTTTTTTTCCCTCGCATTGTGTGCTTTGTGTGTGCTTGTTCTTCCTCGCGATCGCTTGCCCTAAAGTCTCGCCCTTTCTCTGCAGGGTAGCTCCTCTCTCTCGCAATCTCTCCCCGATCTCTCTTCTCCGGCGCTCGATCGATCGATTTCCTGGGACTTCCTTCGCGGCGCGATGCGGTGGCTCCGATTCTACGTGGACGAGGAGGAGAAGCAGCGGCTCCGGGTGGAGGCGCGCAAGAAGAAGCGGCGTAGCGGCAGCAAGAAGAAGGCCAAGCCCCGGGAATCGGCGGTGATGGAGTCGCTGGGTATCCCTCTGGCGACCCGGGATTCCTGGAGCTGCTACGTCCGCCAGATGGTAATCGCGGCCTACCTCCGCGCCAAGGCGGCGCTCGAGCCCGGCGACGATGGCGAGCACGAGAGCGAGGACGACGATGCTCCGCCGCGGCCCATGGAGATCATTCCCATGCTCTGCCCGCCGGCCAAGCGCCCCTTGCTGGATGACGCGCAGTTCAAGAAGCTCACGGCGCGGACGCTGCTCGGCGACGAGGGGCTGGGGCCGATCGTGGATTTGCAGCGGCGGTCCGAGGATGGCGCCGTGATCGAGCCGGAGCTGGTGGTCCGGACGGCCGCCATGCTCAAGAAGCTGCGCAAGTTCTTCCCGGATTCTCGCGACAAGGTCAAGGACACGCCCTACGACGACGATGATTTCGCGATGTACAATGTGTCGAGGGCGCTCGAGGACGTGACCAACGATTTCGTGGAGGCGGCCAAGCTCGGGTACGTGGGCGCCAAGCTCGTCTACGAGCTGGATTAGGGTTCTTCTTTCCTGGGAGCTAGCGCTGCGCAGCGCGGATCCTTTCTTTCTCGCTTTCTTGTGCGACTCTACTTACGATGGATCGTTTAATCTAATGCAACGGACCGAGAGCCCTAAACCTCTAACTATAAATAGTTAACAGTAGTAATTTTTTAAATATTATTTTATTTATTGCTTTCCTAAAAGATATTTTAACTCTTAATATTTAAAGAAGAAAAAGTGCTATGCATAAAGGAGAAGTTAATATTAAATTATATTAAATTTTTAACAACTCTCTGTTAACTTCAACTATTACCTAAATAAACAAAACTGCTTTTAAACTTTCTTTTATTTGTTTATAATAATTATTTTTTATTCATATAAAATCATGTTTATAGTCTAATTTAGTCACAATTTTATATTTTTATTAAACATTAAACCAGAAAATAT